GGAAAGAAAAAGAAAATGAGACTGTATTTTACATATGGCTCATGAAGTTCTCTCTGGGCTGAAGAGGATTAGCTGTTATGGGGATTTTGTGCTGTGACGAGTTGATGGAATGGGTTTGTGATAGATGGAGAGATGGGCATGAAGGTACAGCTCATTCAGAACATCTCCAGTTTCTTATTCATTCATTTTCCTGCTGAAAATGATGGAATAGGGTAAGCATTAAAACAGAACCGCGTCTCATAGCCTGGTAGGGGGAATTACAAAGACTGGGACAAAATATGCTTTTATTGGTTTTGTTTGATATAATTTCATATGTGTACATTTGGGTCATCATATTAGTATTTTTCAGGGAACCAAAATCAATAGGCAATTTCTCTTTTATCTATCTATCTATCTATCTATCTATCTATCTATCTATCTATCATCTATCTATGATCTATCTGAAGTGGCTTGGTGATTATGGAAGCTGAGAAGGCTCAAACATCTACTATAATCACAAGCAAGATGCCTCAGAGAGCTGAGGTGGTGGAATTCCAGTCTGAGTCTGAAGGCCTGAATTGCAAAGGCTGATGGTATAAGTTCCAGTCTTCCTGATATTTATATTTCAGAGTTAAGTTGAGTGGCTTGAGCTGAAGTCTAAAGGCAGGAAAAAAAATCAAGGTCCCAGCTTAGTGACTGTTATGGTTTTTGTCTGGGTATCTTTCTAATGCCTCTTGCAGGGTAGGCTTTTTGGAAGCAGCTGAATCTAGAGTATGTGACTGATTCATAGTCCAATGCTGGGATCAAGGGAGTGAGTGCTACACCTGCCCTCTGGGAGGTAGCAGGCATATAGCATAAGTGACAGAAAGGCTTGTCTCACTCTCTCTTGTTTTTGCTCTCTTCTTCTACTATGAACTGTTGTCCCTTACTATGCCACCCTGCCTTGGAGCCAAGCTGGTTATGGACTGATACCTCTACAACTGTGAGCTAAATAAACCTTTCCTCCCTTTAACTTTGGGTGTCAGGTATTTTGTGTAAGTAACAAGAGTAAAGTAACCAAACCAGTGACCATCAGACACAGAGCTAATTGTCCTTTACTTTTTGCATTTTATTCTGTTTGGGCCTTCAACAGATTGGAAGAAGCCAAGGCATACCAGGAAAGGCAAATTGTTGGACTCAGTTTACGCATTCACACGTTAATCCCTCCCCCCAAACACCCTCACAGACATACCCAGAATAATGTCTGTGCATATCTGCTCATTTCAGCAAGATGATACTGAAAATTATCATCATAGCTGGGCATGATGGAGTGCACCTCGGGTTCCAGGAGGCTGAGGCAGGAGGGTCAGCATGAGTTGGAGGCCAGCTTGGACTACATCACGAATTCAAGGCAAGCCTGGAATACATAGCAAGATTATCTCAAAAATAATTTTTCAAAAAAAATTAACCAACACAGATGTATTTATGCAAATACTGAATTCTGTACAATCTTAGGAACTTGTTCCATGTCCTGATGGCTGCATAGGACCTTCAGATCACATCTCACACCCTCACAAACACTAGTTTGTGAAAATAACATCAGAAAGAAAGAACAAGCAGAGGTGGAGAGACAAAGAACTATTGTTCTCCTTGTTGTTCTCTCTTCCTGGTGTCACTTCTATTCATTCCTACAGGCAGGTGTGTAGAATAAAATAATCAGATCCTTTTTTTTTTTTTTTTTTGTTCCTCGAATGCCTTCAGGGCACTTTTGGCCAGCTGGAGAGGTGTGAGGTTCGAATTCTAGCAACCTGAGGCTGACAGCTTTGTGGAAGCAGCCACTTAAAGGCCTGAGCTAGGGCCAGGCCCCCTCAGATCCTTTTTTACTAGTTGTTTGGAAGTAGAAAGTGAACGTCACGGAAAGTGGCACCTTTGCTGGCGTGATAGCTTAGTGGACTAAGCGCCTGCTTCGGCAAGCACAGGGACCAGGGTTCGATCCGTGGCACTGCATGCACTGAGCCAGCCACTGAGACCAGGTGTGGTGGTGCATGCCTGTAATCCCAGCGCTGGGGAGGCTGAAAATGGGATCACTAGGAGTCTGAGCTATGTAGTGAGACTCTGTGCCAAATACATTAAAAAAAATAAATAAAGTACCAGGTTATCTCTCTCTTGGTTCAGAGACTGGCAACTGCCCTTGCCCATCCCAGCTCCCACAATCACATCCTCTCTGGTATTTTTGTCTTCTGCAATCTGTTCTGGCCTAGGCTATGGCCCAGCAGTAGGCCATTTATTAGTTAATGGTAACTTTTTGGAGAAAATAAGTTTATGCAATCTACCAAATATTAAGATGGTGTATATGGGGCCAGTCAAATAGCTCAGTGTATTAAAGCATCTGCAAGCAGGCGCAGGGGTCAGGGGTTCGATCCCCTGGCCTCCTGAGCTGGCCCTGCACCTGGGACATGCTTAGATCGTAATTGAGACTGGGTGTGGTGGCGCATGCCTGTAATCCCAGCTCTTGGGAGGCTGTAAACAGGCAGATCACTATGAGTCCAATCTAGTAGTGAAACCCTGGACACTCTGTAGACTCTTTGTTAAAATATGAATTAAAAAAAAAAAGATGGTGTATGTGTTTTGAGCTAGGAATTTCAGTTCTAGAGATTGATCCTAAAAAAATAATCAGATCATCACTACAGAATTTTTAACTTCCTTGTTGGTGATGGTGATGGAATTTGAAGTCAAACATTCCCGTAAAAATCAAAGTTAACTGCATAATACCATAAAACTTTATTTTTGAATTTATCATTTTGTTGCCATCTGCTAAATTTGCCTCCAATTCTTTATTTGGGAAGTTTTTTTAAAAATGTATTTTAGTACAGGGACTAAAGGGTCTCACTATGCAGATCAGACTCATAGGGATCCTCCTGTTTTCAGCTTTCCAAGCACTGGGATTATAGGCTGGCAGTACCATACCCAGTCTTAGTTGCCATCTCAGTGTGCCCCAGGGGCGGGGCTGGCACAGCTTGCCCAGGATCAAATCCCACTCCCTGCACCTGCCAAAGCAGGCACTTTAGTCTGCTGAGCTATCTGGCTGGCCCTTATCCTTCTCTTAAGTTATAGATTTATTTTTTCTCCTGATAAATGGGTATCATGTAGTTGATATTGTATTACTCTTTAAAAAAAGAAGCCCAAATTCCTGCTTAAAGCTTAGCACAGCACAGATCTGGATCCTCTTGGCAGTCACTGTCTCAGCAAGCCTGCAGCAATCAGTGGCAAGCACTGTGATCCTCCTGAGGCCTTTCTCTCAGCCTGCCAGTGGGTAGGCTGAAAGTCCTGACTCCAAAAGCAAACCTCAGCCATTGGAGGATGGGCTAACTCTAATACAGGCCACTGTATTAGAGTTAGCCACTGTATTTGTATACCATCTTCATCCGGAAGAGGAAGTTCCATAGTAGTTTGTGGTTGAACCCAAATATATTAGGCTCCATCACCTTGGCTGTGGATGTGCCCTGGGAGTAGTGACTTGTGATGTAAAAGGACAGAGTGGTCTTACTGCAGCCCAAGCATGGGGTACTAACATGTTTCCTTGTTAGGGCTCGGCATGGTGCAGACATCAACTGACATCAACTCAGGAAGATGTTTTTGTTGCTAAACTATCTGGTTTTTGTAATGGTGGTCAGCGAATAAAGACATGCTTATTATTCGAAAAAAAGGAAAGAAAAGAAAGAAAGAGAGGAAGAAAGAAAGAAAGACAGTAGTGCTGGGCTGATCAGACCTTTTCATTATCTGTACTTCTGAGGCTGGGAGATAGTTCAGTAGAATAAGCACCTGTCTGGCAATTATCTGTACTTCTGGAATTGAAATGATGAATTTTGGTGAGATAGTAATAATTTTTGTATCATTTAATCCTTTTGTCACCTATCTGTTATGTTTTAGGTCTAAAATGTCACCCAGAAGTCTCATAAACTCAGAGGTGGAGGGTTTTGTGTGTGTGTGTGTGTGTGTGTGTGTGTGTGTGTGTGTGTGGTGATCCTGGTGATCACATCAGGACCTTGCGCTTACCAAGAAGGTGCTTATGCCACTGAGTTATATCCTTGGCCCTAGGTGGAGCATTTTGAAGGTGATTGAATCACAGGCACACTCTATGTGTCAATGGACTCATTCATTGATGAGTTCACAATTAAGTGGTTGGAAGAGATATGTCAGGGTGTGGCTTTCAGGGTGCGTCTCCCTCCCTGGCTTTTTCCTTTTCTCTCTGCTTCTTGGCAGCCATGAAGTGAGGGGCTTCTTCCCATTATGCACTTCCACTGTGCTGCTGGAGCCAAGTGCCCATGGACTCAAGCCTCTGAACCATGGACCAAGGTGAACCTCGTTTCCTTTAAGTGATAAGTGTTGGGTATTTGTCTCGTTGATGGAAAAGTGACTAATGCGCCATTATACTTGACCAATTCAGTGTGAGACACAAACCCAGAGGCTGATCAGCAGCCTGCAACATGGGCTGATGGTAAGATGAGCTAGGGCAAGCAGAAGGTCTTCCAGGGAGTTCAAAACAGGACACACTGAAAGCACTTACCTGCGGCTGAGAGTGAAGTGATGTCATAAGCCAGGGCCTGCGGCAAGTAGACAAAGGCAGGTGAGAGAGGGTACCAGAGTGAGGGCTCTAACCTAAAGCAAGCAAGCGAGCAGGTAATTGCAGGGAAAAGTAGAGATGTTAAGAGTCCAGCTCTCGGAAAATTTGTGCTTTCTGGGATTTCCAATTTCAGTTCTTAGCCATGTAAGCCTTTGTATTAATTTACTCCATGTTTTGTAAGTAAGGGCCTATTGGGACTCAGGCAGGCTCATTCATTTTTTTTAAGTTTTCCTGTTACAAAGGCAAAGTTGAATCAGAGATTGAAGTAAAGATATTACCTTGCCCTTTACAGAAAATGTTTGCTGGCTCATTGAGATTTCTGCAATATCTACCACTCTTGACTACTGTAACTTTATAGTAAGCCTTGAAATTGAATAGTGTTAAGTCCTCCAATTTTATTCTTTTTCAAAATTGTGAGATCCTTCAGTTCGTGAACTAAAGATCTGGTGTTCTGGCCATTGTGTGAGATGTGTCTCCCTCAAACCTTGCTATGATGTCAGCATCTTGAGTGGTTAAGGTGAAAAGAAAACTGTGGGGCTGTTCTGCCATTTTTATTTCCATGAGTTTTCAATTTAGCATCTCAGTTTCATCAAGAAATCTTCTGGAATTTCAGAGATTGTTTTGAATCCATAGGTCCCTTTGGGGAAACTGATATCAATACTGAGACTTTCATTCCTCACTGAACATGGAATGTCTTCATATATTTAGATCATTCTTGATTTCTCACAGAAATGTTTTGAAGTTATCAGCTTACATGTCTTCTGTATATGACTGCATTCATAAGTATCATATATTTTATAATGTTTTACACTGCTTTTTGATTTTCTAATTGTTCACTGCTATTTTATAGAAATAAATTTTATGTATTGACCTTATATCTTTGCCATATTTGCTAATAGATAAAAATCTTTTAAGGTTTTTTGCATGGATTATTATGTTATCTATGAATAAAGACAGTTGTTTTCTTTCCAATCTAGAAACCCCATTTTTTCCCCCCTGTGCCCTGTTGCTGATCTTCAGCAGGAGAAGTTTTAATCTTTGGTTATTATGTCTGATGTAAGTTTTCCTAAGATGCAGTTTCCAGGTTGAGGATGTCAGCTCCTGGTCCTGGTTTGCCAGAGACTTCATGTGACTGGATGCTGGCTTTTGTCAGACACTTTTTCAACATCTCCTGAGATGGCCAGATGCTCCCTGTGCTTTCTGTCTGTCGGCAAAGATAAACATCAAGCAAATGAAAACAATGAGTGTAATGTGCAACAGATAGGAAAATCCAGGATGCTGGGGACCTAAGAGGGGCCTTGCTCAGCCCAAGGGCAGAGAAGGGCTTTTTTCGGGATTTCTTTTTCTAAATCTGCAGTTCTTGAGGTCAAATCTAGGTAAGCACTCTACCACTGAGCTTCTACCCCGGCCCAGGAAGTAAGGCTGCAGCTGAGACCAAAGGAAAGTAGGAAAGAGCTTGGTCACAGGAAGAGCGGAAGCAAACTGCGTTTGGCTGTGAAGTGTTGGGAAGTCATTCTCATAGCATGCGTGAGAGGCCGCTCTCTGAACTTTCCTCTTGATGACAACAGGACAGGGAGGGATCGATTGTTTATCGTTCATGAGGCGCTGTAGGAGACTTTTCTTTTAGAACCATAACTACCTCAGCTGTTTATCCTTTGGACACTGAGGATCAGATAACCCACCTGGTTTCCCTTGCTCCTTCAGGCCCTTGCAAACTCTTAAGTGGTGGTGAAACTATGGCAGGGTGTTGTTCTTTTAAGGCAAAATATGTTAATATATACTTTTTTTTTCTAAACTAAAAACCTTGGTATTCAGGTTTAATTTCAGTGTTGGCACTTTGTAATAAGTAAGTTTTGGGTTACAAATTGTTGGGCATCATTGTCCTAAGGCAAATCCAAGCCTCCACATAAGTGACAGAATAAAAACTTCTGTGGATGTATATTCTGACTTTATCCTAGTTATGGCCTTTAAAAAATTTACATTTTTATGTGTTTATGTTTATGGTGTTTTTTGTTTTGTTTTGTTTTGCGGAACTGGGGATTGAACTCAGGCCCTTGGCTTGCCAGGCAAGTGCTTATTCTACTGAGCCATCTCCCCAGCCCCCAAAGTTTATGTTTATTACATAAATTTCTTATATCCTATTAGCAAATTAAATATTTGAACAAAGTAGGCTATAAACAAAGAATAAGAAATCAATGGAAAAACACATAAGGACATAAAAGCAGCTCTGGAGAGACCACTCCCTTATGGTGGACATTCGTGTTAGGGGGCCCCTATCAAGCCCTGTTGCTTCTTTCCCCTCAGGAAAGCTATTTTGCTCCCCAAAGCTGCCCTCTTCATCCTGTTCCTCAGGTTTTCCTTCCTCTTCAGGTCCCCCATCCCATGAGTAGGTGTGGCCTCAGGACAAACACACAAACCCTTTCTGTCTTAAGATTTTTTTTTTTTTTTGAAACAAGGCCTCTATTTTCCTTCCTTTTATTTATTTATATTTTATTTTTGCGGAACCAGGGATTGAACTCAGGCCCTTGCACTTGCCAGGGAAGTGCTTATTCTACTAAGCCATCTCCCCAGGCCCTTAAGATTTTTTTTAAAGGATATGTGACTGAGGAGGAAAGATAAAAAGAAAAGACAGACAATAGAAAGATAATCGAAGGAACAAACATGGGGAAGTACGAAAGTTCCAGAGGCCTTTGCTTGTTCTGGTCCCTGACCTGCTTTCTGACTTTCTTTCAATATGACATTTAGAGGATCCTTTTGAGTCTCTAGTCAGGATTTTCATTCCACGATGTGACACTAAAAACTTTTTTTCCCATTAGGATAACTTAGCCGACTTAAAGGCTCATCTTCCATATCACTGGCCAGTGAGGACGACTAGGGTCAGACCATTATACCCTGAGACTGGTCGGTGCCTCCAATTTTAACCACGAGTAATTTATTTTTATGAAGACCACAGGGCGTGGGCTGTCCACCCAGGAATTTGCATTTGTTTGCGTCTTGTATCACTCATTGTAGCTTCCGGGAGTTCTCCAGCATGAAGGCCCTTTCTTAGGTACAGATATAGGGTTACAGTTTCATTGCTATGGCTCCTGTGAGCTCAGCTCAGTGTGTTAAAGTAACACGAGGCCCGGGAGAGGGCACTGAGGTAGGAGTGTGGGTGAGTGGGGAGGGTGATGGCTACATGGCTCGGTCAAATGAGCTTGGGATCAGAGCATTTAGAACCTTAGATGGAGTGGCTTATTTTCTTAGCTCCTGTCTCTTCTAGAACTTGCTGGCCCCTTTTCCTCCAGCCTGGCGCTCTTTGCCTAACCAATCATTGCCTGGGTATGGTCACGTCTCCTCAAATGTACCTCGTATCCAGTGACGCCAGCCAAAGAAAGCAGATGGAACCCTTCTCAGCATTCCCCTTCACAGAACTGTTTATCCTATCTTTGGAACAATCAGTCTTTCTTGCCAGTTTGTAAATAATCATTTTGCCATGTGATACTTTTTATTAATTTTTCTATACACACAAATTTTTTTTTAATATTAGAGATTAAAACCAGAGCCTTTGCAGTGAGCTATATCCTCAGTCCTTTTAATATTTTTATTTTGAAACAAGGCTTGTTAAATAGTTCCCAGGCTAGGATTGAACTTGTAGTTCTTCTGCCTCTGTCTCTTAGAGTGCTGGGATTACAGGTGTTTGTCACCATGTTAGTCTATGCTTTGTTTCTATAAAAACACCAAATTTCATTGCTTCCCTAACAAGTTCCCATCCTCTACTGTTCATTAATAAACATTAAAACCAAAAATTGGCTTTGCCTCAGAAGACTTTGTGGGTAGCATATACCATGAAGCCCTTTCTAAATACTTGTTGACACAGAGGAATGTGATCGATGATGTATAGTGTGCCTAAGGAGAGTTGCATGTAGAGAAAACATTCTCTCAGGCTTTCACAGAGAGCAAATTGGTCAAGCAATGGCCATGACTCATCCACATGGCTGACACTGACAAAGGATCTGCAAAGTGCGGTACAGGGTTTTAGGATAAATCCTGAGGGTACTTGACTGACCTTATCAGATACAAAAGTTACATTTCTTGCTATATAGGTCTTGCTTTATCTTGGTCTTAACCATCCAGCAGAAAAGTATAAAAATGAGGTATGTAAAGTAAAGCCATATTAATACGATGAGCTGTAAATGGCTCAAGTCAATAACTTTTGAGGATAACTCACTACTATTATGGACTCCTGGACAGTGTTGGATTGTTTTGCTGAATTCAAGCACCTATAGTATTTAGATGCCAATAGAATTTCCATCTCTGACAGGACTAAACAAAAAAAAGTGATACAAAGGAAGGACCATTTTGTATTTGTATATACAAAATAGTTAGGATAGATATACAGCTACTTTTGCTTAATTCAATGAGAAGAAAGATTTGTACTAACAGTGTTTGGACAGGATGTCCTGTCTGTTTCTTGTACTATGGATTACCACTAAGAAGATAGCAATGTACAATGTATTAATTATTGAAACTGTCCTATTATTCAGCTTTGAAACTGTCTCATTGATATTTGTTTCTCAATAAAATAATAAATAAATAAATAAATAAATACTTGTTGAATATTTGAATCACCAAGAAAGAGAAATGTATCTTCGATGGGTAGCATCTGGAACCAGGGGGAAAGGTCCCCTGGGACAGTGCAGTGCTGGGTGAGTCTTCTGGGGGTGCCCCATGCCATCTTTGTGATCCAGTGAAATTTGGTTAAATTCTCAGGGATGTTTTATGAGCAAAGGGGGATAAGATGCTAGATCCCTGGGTGAGTTTTCTGAGAAATCCAAAGAGCTGGACACTGCCTTTATTTAGGCTGCTGCCATAACTAGGAAGGAATGACAAGCAGGGTTGTGAAGTGGCCATTTAGCAAACAAAGCCTTCCACGCACACAAAAGTGTGTGTACGTTGTCATCTGACAGTAAGGCAGAAGTGCGGCATGGGAAGTCAGGCCATGTCTACCCACTTCTGTTCTCTCTGTTCACACTCCAGCCCTCACCTCTCGGGGCTGTCATCACCATGACAGACTCTGAAGGAAGGAAATGCAGACTTTGGCAAGCCTGGTTGCCAGGAAACCGCACTATATGTATAATTCCCTATCCTCACCTTCTGCTCCCCTCTCCTCCCCAGAAGATTATGTTCTTGTTTTCTGAATGGGTACAACATTGACATTGTCTAACATCAAAAAGTACAGAAAATGTGAAACAAAAAAAATTCCTTCCCACCTATCCTCATCACCCAGTTCCTGTCCTCTTTAATAAGTAGCCACTGCTATTTCTCCTTCCCTCTTTTCTCTTCCCCCTGTTTTGTGTTTGGTTTTTTTTTAGAAACGATCTTGCAATGTAGTTCAGGCTGAGCTTGAACTCACTATGCAGCCCAGGCTGGCCTTGAGCTTGTGGCAATCCTCCTGCCTCAGCCTCTCCAGTGCTGAGATTACAGGCATGTGCTACCATGCCTGGCTATTTCTTTTTTATCCTTAATATTTTTAAAG